AAATGTTTTTTTTTTTTTTATTTTTTTTTTTAAAAAAAGTATTTTAGGTTCAACAGACACTTGGGTTCCTGTTAACAACTCATTTAAGGAGAAAGTGGGGGGAAGGCATTCAGATCAAGGCTCCTTTGACAACATGAACCTCCTTACTTTGAACCCTTACAATATGGACGGGATGAAAGATTTCATGGAGACGCAGATGGGTAAATGCCCAGGTGAGAAAGGACAGATGTTAGCTGCCAAGGAGACGCGGGGATCTTGGGATGGGCTTTGTCTGGCCAATAATGGAGAATAGATGTTGGAGGGAGGGGGGAGTGGAAGACCCAGAAAACCAAGACACAAAAAACCACTTTTGTGGCCATTGTGTTTCCATCGGAGTCTTGATCTGGGGAAGATGTGCTGTTTGGAGAACTAATAAGGCGACTGGCTTTTTTGATAGGACACATTTTGAAAACCAAGGTCTATAGGAGTCATCTGTCGCTGGCTCCCTGGGGCCTTTCTCCCCCATCTATAAAATCTGGCCTCCTAGGGAGCGTGGATGTATCTTCTGCCCATCACCCCTCAAGCCCCAGGGAATCCTTTCCTTGAAGGCTCATGATAGCTTCCTGTTGCTCCTAGCTCAACTCTAAACTCCCTGTCTGGTGACCAGGATCCACCATGTTCTGGCTGCACTTGAACTTATCTTCCCCCACCCTTAACCTCCCCAAGACCTCCTGCCAGACAGATCTCCCTGACCCTGCTTTGTTCTCACCCACTTCTCTGAGATTCTCTCTTCCACTTGCCCGAGGTCTGCTCATCCTGGCAGACCCAAGTCCCAGGAGACTCTGAGACTCCCTCATCCTCACCAAGCCCCGTTCAGTAGTCTCACATGTCCCATGTGTCTTTGACACGCTTTAGTGATTTTCCATCTAATCTGCTCTCCCTAAGACCTGTTCGCTCCTAGGAGCATGGGTCCCCAGCCCATGGCACAGGGCCACCAGAGTGGGCACAGTATGAAATCCTGACCTCTTCCAGTCTAGACTGGAAGGTGCACAGGGTATAGAGCCACTGCTTTCTCCAGAAGATCTTCCATCCCCAAGGCTTGGGAGTAGGCCTGTAGAGAATCTGCTGCCATAAGCTTGTCACCCTCCGTGACCACCCTAAAATCTGCAGGAATTGTTGGGGCAAAATCCAAATGTCCAGCTATAAACCTTGTATTATCCCATTCTTTTCTGTAATAGTTCATATAACAAATAATTGCTGAGTGGCTCCTTATGTGCCAGGCACTGGGGATTTGGTGGTGGTTGTGCCATACGTGGCTCCATTGTCTTGGGGCTTATAGACCATGCATTGAGAGCCATAGAAGTGGTTGGTTACAATGGTTCTAAGTGCAGTGAAGGGTAAGTACCCCTGCTCTCTGAGTAGTTAAACCCAACAATTGCTTCTCAAGGACACTGTTTCACTTTGGGAGGGCTTTGAGCAGACCACCTTACTGCAGCAGCAGTGGAAGCCAGATCTTCCTTGGTAGACTGCTTAATGGGATGCTGAGTTCAACAGGCTGATGAAACAAGGTCAGTTCTTGCTGTGGGGGTGAGGCAGGGCTGATGCCCTGAGCGTGGATGGAGAAGTGTCTCCAGGTACCTGGACTTGTTATGAACATGTAGAAGATCAGAGCCGGGAACAGCTGTCCTCCAACAAAGGCCAGAGCCTGAGATGCTCCAACAGTCTTCTGTGCTTAGTACTCTCTCTTATTGAAAATGAAGACCTTTTCAACAAACTCAAGAGTCCTTCAAGACCTGCCTGACATCCCCCTCATGGGAAGCAGTCACTTCCCAACTGGATCTATTTCACTTTCTTGATGTTTCTGCTAATGAAGCTAGTCAGCTGTCTTGGATCATGATTCTACTGCAAATTTTCATCTACTCCACCTCACGGTGCATTCTAGGACAAGTGGATTTATGTCTAGTTCTTCTCTGCATAGCAAGGAAGAAGGAATGCTAAGCAAGTATTTGGAACAAGTGCCACAACTTCCAAATCCAGTGGCCCTGTAGACATTAATAATTGATCCAGGCTCTCCTTTCTGTTGCTTCTGGTTATGGATTAAAAACCCTATTCAGAAGGCTCTTCCTGTGTTCATTTTTGTTTTTTTGAGATAGGCTGGCCTTGAACTCACAACAATCCTCCTGCCTCAGCCTCTCAAGTGCCGAGATTACAGAAGTTTGCTGCCAAACCAGGCTAGAGGGCTCTTCCTGTGAAGGAGGGCACCCTCTCCTGCTCGTTTTGCATAACTAAACCCATTATTTTCTCCACAGTGCTTGTCACACTTAGTAATCACATATGTAAAAACTATTCAGTTCCTGTTTCCCCAACCAATTCATAAACTGCCTCAAGTGGGACCCTGTCTGTTTTGCTGAGTACAGGATCTGTGGAGCCAATCCCAGCCCTTACCACACACGATCTCAGTAAACAGTAGCTGCAAGTTGACCAAACACTTGCGAGGATGAATGGCTTCGACAGAGAGCCCAGGCTTACTGCTGCCAGTCTTGGTTTAATCCTGCCCCCCAAATTCCTAACTCTGCAGTTTGGCAAGGACTTCCTCTTCTCGGGGCCTCAGTTTCCCCACCAGGAAAATGAGGATGGAACCACTTCTTTCACTGAGTCGCTGCGGTGTGAAGTGAAGGCATTTGGTAAAACCAGACACTGTGCTAGCTGCTGTAATTATTGATGTGGTTCCTCCCCTGTTCTGTGCACCAGGGTGGGAAGCTCTTTGAGCAGAAGTTTCAGAGTATCTGGGTCAAAGCCTGTCTTCCTGAGTGTGGTGCCATGAGGGCATTTTATTTTGGGTCTGCGAGTTGGTTTACTGTGGAGCTAGTGGCTGGTGATCAGTATGGGCCTCGAAGATGCCAGCCAGGGGGAGGCAGAGTTGCTCTCCTCCTGGGTCCCAGACCACAGCCTGTCAGCTCCTAGGCCTGGGGTGGGGGGGGACTGGGCTGGGCCATGTCTGAAAGGCATGGGTGTGTCTCTGGCTCTTGTTTAGGATGCAGTGTGGCAGCAGCACTACCTGTACCTTCATTTCCCCCCTTTCTCCTCCTCATGCTCCTCCTCGTCCTCATCCTTCTCCTCTTCCTCTCCCCCTGCCTCCATATTTTCTTCCTCCTTCCACCAGGGGAAGAAGGGAAGGGCACTGCGCATCCCTTTGCTGTTCCTACAGCTGAGGCCCGAGTCCTCCCTCTGGGACCAGGGCCCCCAGAGCCTCTTCTTGGCAGGCTGGCCTGCTCCGCTCTGACCATCGGAGCCTGCCTAATGTGTCCTGGGAGAGGCTGATGCCTCTGGAAAAGCAGCTCAAGTGGCCCTGCTGAAGCGGAAGCCCAGCCGCCCACAACCCGTGGGAATCTCTGTACGTGTGCAGGGAGCTCTGGGGTGGATGTCCGGGAAGGGGTGTGGCATGGTGGGCTTGGCCAGGGCCCAGAGGCTGATAAGCACAGAGACCCACTTCCTGTCCTGTCCCAACTCAACCATGGTGTACAGCAGGTCTCGTGCCTGTCTTTCCCTGGGTAATTAGCTGAGGGGAGCGGGTGCTCCCAGCCTATTCTCCCTTGGCAGCAGAGATACTTGAGTTCTGGTGCACAAAGCAAAGGAAGGTCCTGGAGAACACTGCCCCTTGGCCAGGCAGGTGGGCAGGCCTGTGACACTTTGAGGGCTTTCTCTGTCCTCTCCCTGGGTTCAGCCTCATCCAACCATGCTGAAGAACCAGACTCCATCTCCTTTCCACTTTCAGCTGTGCCTGGAGGCCTTTCATCCCATCTTCTCCTTACCTACAAAGACCAACTCAAATATCACTACCTTTGGAAGGCCCCCTGTAGCTCCTTCAAAAGAGGCTAGTTGTGACCTCCTCTGGTTTCTATCCAGTTCCAACCCTCTTTGTTTGTCTTCCCAATATGGTGCATTCTCTCAGCTGAGTAATTGCTAATTGACTAAGACATTCTTATCTCTTGTCTTCCTCTGGACTGTGGGCTCAAGGGCACCGTCATGGTGCAGAATGTCTGCTATGCCTCCTGCTCACCTCCATGTCTTCTTCCTGTAACTGCACTTGTAGTGCCACTCCCATCATGGCCGTCCTACTCCACACACACTGTGTTGTTCCCTTCCCTGTTGACCAGGACTGAAGTGTGTGATCAGTACGACACTATAGGAATGATGGCGTGTGACTTCTGAGGTGAGAGCATCGGGGCTCTTGAGGCTCTTAAGCTTTTCCCTTGTGTCTGTTGGACTGCTTACTCTGAGGAGGCTGGCCGCCATGTTGTCGGGGTGTGACGCACAGTCAGTCCTGTGACGAGATCAGTGTGTAGAGGCACCTACAGCCAGCACTCGCTATTTAGCACATCCGACATGGCTCCTCCAGTCCAGTCAGACCTTCTAATGACTGCAGTTCTGGCAGATGGCTGGACTGCAACCCCACGCAAGACCCAGAGCTGACTCACTCCTGACTTCCTGACCCACTGAAGTATGTGAGATCATGAGTGGTTCTTATTGCTTGGGGCAGAGGGGGATTGAGACCCAGCAATAGATAACTAAGGAGAGTGTCAGAGCTGCAGAGAGAGCATCCTTCTTCCTGTGTGGGGGCCTGGTGGGACTGACAGTCAGTGTTCCATCTTCCTGGGGCAACAGGTGGAGGCCCTGACTGCAGAGAGAACAGTCACACC